CGGTATAGTTCCCAGCTGTCCCAGGTGCAGTGCATGATCACTAACGTGGAGTCCCAGCTGGCCGAGATCCGGGCTGACCTGGAGCGTCAGAACCAAGAGTACCAGGTGCTGCTGGACGTCCGGGCCCGGCTGGAGTGTGAGATCAACACGTACCGGGGCCTGCTGGAGAGCGAGGACTGCAAGTGAGTAACAGCTCTCATGAGTACACTACTCCGTGGCACTCTCCAAAGATTACATACCTTGGGAAGGAAACCATGCCTTCGCTCCAGGCATGCTCAGACAGCATTTTTATTTCTCCCTCAAAGGCCAAAACAAACAAACAAACAAAATATGACTGAGATTGTGGGTCTCCACATTTCCTAAGTCATGGTGAAGAAGGAGTGGGGACACTTTCTGTCTCTTTGGAGGGGCCATTTATTGGATATGCAGAAAACACATTATGGCCATCATTAACAACATCAAATAGTTTGGAAGCAAGAATTATTTGATGTATAAATGGAAATTGTACAACCAATTCTTTGTATTCTACTATGATAGTATATATGATCGCCTGATATGTGATCAATGATGTCTTACTGTCTACAATACTGTGTTGCATAGAGGGGACCTCTCTATACTCAATCCTATCTGGCCTTATAATTTAACCCCTGACAGGCAGGGCCAATATTCTCCCCATTCTATATGTGACTTGCCCAAAGTCACCAGCTGGGAATGGACCAACATGGGGTAGAAGTCAGAGTTTCAGGGTTTCTATCCAGTGCTTTTGGCGCTCTGTGATAGGGAGAGCGTTAGCAATTTGATAATGTGCCGCAGTGCAAGGTAGGCCTTCTCTGTTCTTGGCCAGGCAGGGTCCTGATAGGTGTTCCACTCTTGGGGTCTCTCTGGTATGTGATTTTTTACATCTCCCTCAATTTACCTTGTCATTCTTTGTCTCTAGGCTTCCCTGCAACCCCTGCGCCACAACCAACGCGTGTGGCAAGCCCATCGGGCCCTGTGTTGCCAACCCCTGCACTCCCTGCGCGCCCCCTGCCCCTTGCACACCTTGTGTCCCGCGCTCCCGCTGTGGACCCTGCAACTCCTTCGTGCGCTAGAATCCAGCAAAGCCAAAGGGGCAAGGACACGGGCTTGGGGCTCCAGAGTGTTGACCTGGCTCTGGTTCCTTCAAGAGAAAGGGCCTGAAAACACAGTGGAAAGACTGGCGCTACCCCATGGAGGCACAAGAAACTCATCCAAAGCCTCCAGCCACTCCAGCCTACTCCAGACC